TCCTCCTCCTCCTCCTCCCCCCACCTTGATTGTACTGAAATTACTGTTTCTTAACTGCTGTTAAAACAGCATCCAGTCTGTTGTGTAAGTTCTTAAGAAGCCCATCATCTGAGGACAGAATGCCCTATATGCCTTGTTATGCCCTGTTCCCCGCAAGCTACTAACAATCTACCAAGCAACTGAGAAAAGTAATCCACCCCACACCCAAACTGAACACAATCAGAGTAGCACCAGTAGATTAGGAATTAGAGGGGCTCAAATATGTTGTTGGCTGCAGGAAAAAAGCTTCAGTGTTCTCATGTTCCTTCAGGTTATCCACTCTTGACTTTTAGCAATTATAATGCAGACACCATTTTACAAAACAGACAATTGTTGACTGGTGCTAATTATAGGATAACATTTTTTGATTAAGGCATTCCCAGGTCCCCACCCAGGAATTCAAAAGGTGGTATCCATACCAATGGTTCCAGGACCAATGTTCAACCCTTTTAATCGATCACAATTTACTCTCTCAGACGCCCGAAGGAGAATGTGTACCTTTGTCCTTTCTTCTAATGGATGCTCCGGTGTACCTAATGGGAAATTGATGAATATTAACTAATTTGTACAATGTATTTTTCCCCTTTTTACATATTAAAAAATCTATCCAAGATGGCTTACATAAAAATATAAATACATATACCTATCGGTAAAAGCCAAAGAAAATGAATAACATATGTAACATTACAACACTCAAATATTACAAAATGCATAGCAAGAACAAGCTAAACCAAGTACAACAATAATATTAGCAGATATGCATGTTCTTTCTACTTGCAGCAAGCAATTAATTGTCAAAGGCCTGCTTATGTACATGTGTTTTTCAGTGCCCATCTTAATGTTAAAAGCAACTAAATTCAATGAATCCCCAGTGAAAACATTTGAACAAGTAGCAGCATTAATAATATCTCACCAGTGAATTGATTTGCCAAAAGAAATTTCAGTGAAACAAACGTGAAACAAAAAAGGTTGTGCTTTTTTTTTAACATACTAGGGTTAAAAAGCACTGGGTTCTACAATAACGCCAAGCCCTTATTCTGTTGCAGAATAGAATTTATTCTACTGTAGTATACAAAACCCATTCAGAATCTCAGAAACCAGAATTTTTCAGAGCTGGGGCACATTTTTCCCCCCAGCTCTTACTCTATGTGATTGAACAGATTTTGCCTATGTGCCACTCTAAGTCAGATAAGCTCTGGCACTTGCATAACTCACCAGATTTCACTAAGTTTAAGATATATATTGTGCTGTCAAATTCTACCATCCCACAATGTCGAGTTAATCATCTTCATCCAAGGGAGCTGTAACAATTCTCGTGTGACCTCACTTATGTAACTAGCACTGGCACGACTTTCTCACAGCAATGGCTGAAGCAGGGGAAGGGAGCCACAACAGCAAGACCATTTTTCCTTAACCAGGATCATCCAGGTTACCAACAGAAAGATAAACAGAATGGGAGAAGGAAGAAAAGCTTTGGAAAAGCTAACATTCCGTACAACAGAGTATTCTTGTTGTCCAGTAGAAAGCAAAGACAACAGATTGGAACTCTTTCTCTTCAGAAAGGATAATCTTTCTTTTTAAAAATTTCTTCTTTGAACTTTTCCTTTCAGAACAAATTGTAACTCTTTCTTGATTACTCTGGCACACAACTTTGTTTTGCTTAATAATTTCAGTTACCCCAAATTTATTTTAGATTTTTTTTTTCAATAGGTTAAGTGCGGAACAGAACTAGTTTAGTAGAGAAAGATAGTTAAACTCAGAAATACTGGCATTTTCCCAGTATATCTGGATTAGTGTTCAACTACCATTTTGGAAGAATCCCATCTCTTTCACAGATGCAACTTCTAAAACCTAAGTGAATTTTTTCTGATGATATTGAAAACACAAGAGGAGAATAAGAAAGGTAAAAAAGAGAGGATGGAAATAACTCTTATCTTTTAGAGTGCAAAGTGAGCTGTATTCCAACTGTGAACCTATTTATTTCACCAAGGGTAGTTTACAGACTCAGAAGAAAATAGTGTAGCATGAAGCAGATACTTGAAGGGAAAAGTAGGGCAATTTCTGCCCTAGAGAAATGTAAGCAGAGTCCAGTAAGAGAGTTCAGCACTCCTTTAAAATTAGAGATTAAATCAATTATACAGCCCCAAACGGCAGCAGATGTAGAATTAAACAAAGAAATCTGGGTAGAATTAGCCATCATGTCACAATTGTTTAATATTCAGAAAACATGACTTTGGTGGGGAAAAGAAAAAAGTGTAATATGCATCTGTAAGAATTAATCTTAGTAACCCATTTAATGAAGTGTCTATGAAATTAATCTTGTTATAGATATGGTTGATTTTGATCTGAAATCAGACAAATGACTCACACAAAGAGACACAGAAGGACCACCCTATTCAATCTGGGGGCCAATTCGGGCCTCTAGAAATTACTTGATTTACTCCAGGTTGCTCTGGAGCTGGTTTGACCAGTCCCAGAATAATAATAAAAACAGAACTGCATTATCTCTGGAAGGAACTCCTTGCAGCATAAGAAAATCTTGTCCCCTTAAGGGATATGCCTTTCCTTTTATTTTTTTTAACTGAGACAATAGCCAGAGGTAGTCAGGCCTCCGTCTTCAACTCTTGCCAGATAGCTGTCTGTCCACAATCTCTATTGAGTCACCTCCACCACATAACATGACAGGTCATATGCTATTTCTCCAAAGAGGTGGAGTAGGCTTGTGCTTTTTGTCTCTGGACAAGCCAGGCCATGATATTTTCAAACTCCCAGTGAATCTTAATGGTAGCTATCCATTAGAGAGCTGAATCCATGACTGAACTGCTTTCCTTGACCGGGTCCTGTGTTCCCCAATCAAGAATCAAGAGGGACTTTTCCTGACATCTCACTACCAATACAAAGCACTGAAACTGAGGAAACAGATAGTGATCTAATCACAAAGTCCATTTGTCAATCACAAAATCCAGTGCCCCTCTTCTTCCTTGTCCTACCATGGTATGTTGTAAAGGTTTTGTAAAAGATGCAAGACAGGCTTATGTAAACAGCCAGCTGCAGTCTTCTCCGTGGCCAGTGAAGAGACCTGCCTCCTCACCAGGTCATAGGAAGACTGTGAGAAAGAAGATCAGTAAGTTTCTACCCCATACCCAGGGATATATGGGCTTTAAATGGAAAATAGTTCAGTTACTATAATTCTTATAACCTCATCCCATTCAGCACAATAAATCTTGCTAAAGAGAACTCTGAGAGTCATGCTATGAAAATAGTGATTTCTTGTTTTAGGCAACTGCCAAGGGACCTGACATATTTTATGGAAGCTCTGAAACTTTTTTTTTTCTTTTAACATAGTTGTTGTAGCACCAGCAACTGTAGCACTGGAATAATGGATTGAAAACTGAAATTCCATGGACTATTTTGAGTCAAAATTATCCATTCCAACTTGTGTACATAGCAATTTGATCCAATTATTCAGCATGCCTCAGGATTCAAAATATAGCCAGTTCCAGAGCATAGCCCTAGTCATAATGAATGGTGATATCAACATATGTATTATAAACAAGAAACTGCCACATATCTAGCCCTGCTCCCAAAGCCCAGTTTTCCAGGATTTCAGAATTACAACACCTCCGTTTCTAGATATATAGTTTGTGACATTGCTTTAATAAAATATTTTTAAAAACTGTAACAATAGAATGCTGAAATTCAGAATATATGGAGGTTATTTTCATGCCAGTTGATTGATTTATTACATTCCATCAAGTTGTTGTCAACTCTTAGTGACCATATCGATAGATTTTCTCTATGATGATCTGTCCCTAACCTGGTCCTTCAGCTCTTCCAATGGTGCACCCATTGCTACTGTAACTGAGTCCATCCACCTTGCTGCTTCCTGATTTTTATTTTTCTTTCCTTCCACCTTTCCCAGCATTAGAACCTTTTCCAGAGACCTAGGTCTTCACATAATGTGTCTGAAGTAGGATAATTTGACCCTGGTCATTTGCACCTTGAGTGAGAACTCTGAGTTGATTTGTTTGATGATCCTTTGGTTTGTTTTCTTGGAGTTAGGCAAGGCTATATACTTTCCCCTTATTTATTCAGCCTGTACGCTGAATATATATTGAGGGAGGCTGGACTGGGAGAAGATGAGCATAGTTTTTAGATTAGAGGAAGAAACATAACTATGCTGATAACACTAATAGCTACAAATGCAAATAATCTGCAGGCTTTAATAATGTAAGTCAAGGAGCACAGTGAAAAAATTGGAGTATGATTACATATAAAGAAAGCCAAAATGAAAACAGGTACAGCAACCAGCCTTAAGATTGACAATTAAAACTCTGAAGTGGTGGATATTTTCTGCCTTTTAGGATTTAGGATCCTGCAATCAACAAACAGGCCATAGACTAGCACTTGGTCAGGTAGCAACAAAGACTTGGAAAAGATACTCAGATGCTTTGATATGTCTATACCTATATCTGGATCAGAACTGTGCAGGCAATGGTTTGTTCTGTGTCACTCTATGGAAGTGAAAGTTGGACTTTGAAGAAGCAGGATAGAAAACATATTGATGCTTTTGAACTTTGGTGTTGGGGAAGACCCCTGAGAATACCATGGATAGACAAGAAAACAAACAAATGGATCACAGAACCAATAAATCCAGAGTTCTCATTCAAGGCACAAATGACGAGGTTGAAATTATTTCACTTGGCCCTGAGAAGGTTTGGTGAGCTTTGAAACAAATTGTCCTTCTCACAAAATTCTTCAGAACTTTAACAAGCCTCTTTTGTAAACCCAACATAGGAAAATTATCCAGGTCACTCTGTTGGTATATTATTTTTAATTTGCTGTTATCAAATATTCTCTGCCCATCCTACAGAAGACATGCCACTCTTGCCTTTTACAACATGTTCATGTCTTCAGTTTTTAAAGGAAAGTTCAGCAACATTCCTGCATAAGAAAGACATCTTTGCCTAAAGAAAAAGAATCTCTTTTGGTCTTTATCACTCTCTCTCCACTTTGCCCCTGCCCCTGCTAAACAACACAGTGAGCCAGATTAATAATATCTTCCATAACCCATTCTTACACTAGCTGACAGGTCACCAGATTATCTCCAGAAGAGTAATTAAATGCATTGCTATTGCCATCACTATCAGACATTCACTGGAAGTTGAAGTCCACACATCTTAAAGTTGCCAAGTTTGAGAAACACTGGTCTAATGGGTGTGTTGTTTTCTGGTATGTTTGTTCTGACTTCTGAAATAAATATGTAAATATGTATGTATTTACCTACGTATGCATATACCTGTGAGGCTGGAGTCACAGAGGGAGCTGAGTCACAAGCAACGTTTTTAATTTAGGACTTATCTTTTCTTCCCTCCTTTCTTTGGGCAATAAATGGTGTCTTCCAGATTCTCCCATGTTCCGTCCCAGAGTCAATGGGAGGTGAGTAATACCAGCATTTCACTGTCACCTTAATTCAACCATGGACTAAACTGTATCAGAGTTTAAATACTTGCAGTATTCCTGGCTGAGCAGTCTAGCACTATTGCACAATTCTGACCACCGCACTGCGGTATCTAGCTCTTCAGAGAGATAACAGCCAACTGGCAGTCGATGAAGCTAACTAGGGACCAGAGGGAAAATTACGAAAAAGCCCTTCTCGGATCCCAGACCCTACTGGTCACCTCCAGTATAATGGGTGCTGAAGCACAACAGATTTTACACAACTTGCAGCTATCCTCTGGAAGCTGTCAGCTTAAAAGAGAAAACACTACAGATGAAGACTAGCTCATTCATTTATACCGTGGCTATATAGTTAACCCTGAAACAATCAAGAAAGAATGAAAAGCTGGGTCTGGAAGATGATCTTTCTCTGAATCTATGTTATTCCCTTCCCTCCACCCTATCACTAAATCTCATATGTTCCTTTCTGTTAAGAATTACTGTGCAGAAAATGAGGCATGTTATAAACTTTTCTCAATAAGACATGTTTTTAATGTTCTGGAAAAGTTTAGAAATTTCCAGGTTTTATAAGCTGGTTCTGTAAAAAGTGTTTCCACTTTGCACTTCTAATTTGTACTTGATCTAGTCCAATAAAAGTCCAATAAAAGTGGCTGGTATCAAGCATCTTTTTGAATTCCTAGATATGTAAATATTCTGTCATCTAACAGTTTTGGGAGGAGAGCCATTACTGCTCTGAACAAATGTCCCAGAAGGGTGCACAGTTCTTACAGTCTGAGCTGTGGCTACTAACTATGCATCAGTTTTTTAAAAAAAAATTAAAAATTTGAACATAGTATCCTTGCTAGCTCATCAAGACAACTTCTTAGACTATTACCTCATTCTAAAGCTTAATTAATTAATTTTTTTAAAAGCAAAAAAAGTTGAACATCAACAGCTACAAAATTGCAAGGTGTATTTCTTTAATTCCCTTTTAATAAAAAGGCAATTTTTACAGGTGAAAGAATGATCGTTAGAAAGTTCTAGAATTAAAGATTTCTATAACAAGAATAATCTGAATTTTAAAACTTAAATGTAATAAGTTATGAATAATAATACCATAAATAATACCATAAATAAATTGTGTATACTAATATGTATTGGTTTGAATGATACCTGAGGTATAAATATAATAACCCCACACTATAATGAAATAACTATTCAGGAATGCTACTGACCTGTTTAAACATCCCAGTTACGGTTATTTGTATTCTAACTACCCATGACATGTTGGTTTCCTTTTTGTTTACGGTTTATTTGCATGGGTGAATAGATTCCTGTTATGTTTGCTTGTCCTTGATTCTTGACATACTTGGGAATAGGAAATTCACCATAACATATCCATGGCAGATCCATGGTGGGTTGAATGCTAGCTATATAGTTTCAATATATCCTTTCACACTTATGGAGACAGCCCAAGATTGCTTTGTACTTACTTTACAAGGTAAGTGAAGGAATAGAAAAATGCAGTGCTCAAGCTGTTGTTGTTGTTGTAACCCTTTGATTGGATAAATCCTGATAAAAGTTGCTCAAAACCTCTTCTAACCACAGTAGATTAGTTCTTATAGTCCAGGGATATTACATTTTCCTACTCTTTCTGTAGTAATGATTTCTTGATTTCCTCTCCCCTTCCCAAACTGAGCTATGCAAGCCTCAGTGAGAGTAGGCACTTTGGATCCCCTCATCTAGAGATGGTGAATAGCTTCCCCTTCCCCATCTTAATTCATTTCAGAGGCCATCCCTCTCCCAGTCTTCCTTAACTGCTAAATGCTTTGAATTTGTAAATTGACTATTCTTGCTCCTTTTTCATAAATCACTATATTCTACTTCACCCTGAGACAATCTGAATGACAATCAGTTTTCAAGTCATGCAGTTCTAAAACCCTGCACTGATTCCAGTGACATGTGGCATGCTATGTTCTGGCAAATGGCAAAAGTCATCCCATTTCACTAAGAAACCAATAAAGAATAAGTGTTGGTGTATTTCTTTGTGTGTTAATCCACTGGGAAACAAACCCCCCTGTAATAAATCTCTTCTGGACCTAAGCAACCTTATAACATTTATAAAGTAAGCGTTATCTCCATCTATTCCTGGATCTTATCTGAAAAATGTTCCAAGGCTTTTAATTAAAACTCAGGGGGGGAAATGGCAAGTTTCAAAATTATCTCTAAAAGCAAGTAATCAAAGAAAAGGACCAACCTCATTTTACTAATTACTAGGCCTACTTTGACTCTTCAACAGTGCGGTTGGAAGAGGCCATTTAGGCCACTAATGCCAACCTCTGTGCAGGAATCCAAATTAAAGCATCCTAGACAGATGGTTGTCCAGTCTCTGCTTGAACACATCCAATTAAGAAGAGCTCACCAAGCTCTCTGCCCCGTTGATTCCCCTGTTGAACTGCTCTTACTGCTAGGAAGTTTTTTTCTAACATCAAATTAGAATCTGCTTCCTGTAATTCCAGTCTTGTCTATTATAACATCTCCATTCTGGAATGAGAGGGAACAGGTCTTGACCTTCCTCTGTGGACATCTTTCCAGTTATTTGAAGAGTGGTATCATGTTCCTCCTACCTCTTCAGTTGTTTGATTCTCAAGGCCAAATATACTCAGCTCCTTCCCTATTTCTGTAGAGTTCTTATTTTCTAGTCCCCTGATCATCTTCATTATCCTTCTCTGAACTTGTTCAATTTCCTTGAATCTTTTGGAAACTATACTTCTCAAATTGCATGTCCTTTGTTTGCATCTCTGCTACACTTTTGTAATGATATGTGGGAATGACCTTAGGGGACAAGAAGAAGAGCTGCAGCCTAGACAATGGTCTGAAATTTGAGTCCAAAGGAGGAGAGATAGTGAAAACATCTCAGAATGGACCTTCACTAGTTTTCAGGAAAGTAAAAGCGAGGGACAGCAGGGGTACTTTCAGACTTGAAAGATTGATGTTAGCCTTGCAAAGTAGTCCAGACAAGAAGCATAACCAGGAGTACTAGCTCTACCTTTAATGTAAGGTTACATTAAGAGAATCTTGCAAGTCTGAAAGTAACCCTCCTGTCCCTCACTTTTATCTCTCAAACACTAGGGAGGGTCCTTTCTGAAATGGTTTAACCACCCCTCCTCCTTCGGACTCAAATTTCATTTATCAGACTGTTGTTTAGGCTGCAGCTCTTCCTCCTGTCCCCCAAGGTCATTCCCACAAACCATTACAACTTTATAACTCCCTCTGTTAAATTGATATTTGTTATTTTCAACCCACTTCTTTAAACTATCAAGATAATTTTTAATTTCATTTCTAGGGTCCTAATTATACTATTTTTGTCACCTGCAAATTTGGTGAGCTTTCCTTCCATGTCTTATCTAGATCACTAATACAAATGTTGAAGAATGACCACTTCTTGTATATTTAAATTGCTATTGTGCAAATTAAAATCAGTCCAATTACAGAATAAAAAAAGATGTGAATCTACTTTAAGTTATGAACATTTTTGGAATTTTAATAAAGCGTTGTGAGTGTCACTGTAAAATAACTGCTGAATGGCCTTAGCTAATCACAAAGGGATTGTGATGGGGTAGGGACTACTAATCATACAATCTTTAGAGTTCCACACCAGGAGCTTTGCTGCTCCATGCCTTAACAGTTTTACAAATGGATTATTGCAATACACTTGACGTAGAGCTATTCTTGAAGATGGTCCAACAGCTGCCTGATTGTTAAGGAAGGTGGCTAAATCAGACCATGTCACAGCAGTGTTTAAAATCCTACACTGAACTATGGAGTCCAATTCAAGGTGTTGAGAAAGGATTTTCTGGGCCTAACTCAATATAGGCTCTACTGCACCCCTCATCTACTAGGGAAAATAAATCAGGTTTTCTGCTCAGTGTGAAATAGACTTTGATTGCATTCCAATGAGCACTTACCTGCAATAGATTCCACTTCGACTAAAGCAGATCCCATTTGTACTGCAGTATGCCCAGCATATTGCAAGTGCTTTATAAATGTTAGATGGCATGAGCACCAATTTATGATGTTATTCTTTCTAGGCTTCATTATTTGCCCTTGGCATATATATCCCATAATAGCTTTGTCATGCCTGAGGCTAATTAGATTCATTGGTTCACTTTAAAAAAATAAATAACTAAAAGATACAACATGCAGCCTCTCTTCCAGCTATTATTATTTTTCACTTACCCACTTTCAGGACACCACCAGCAGCAATCACAATGCAGGCTGCACTCAAAACATGGCTGGTATTTAATGAGAATTCCAGGGTGCCTTGGATATAAAGACCTCGTAGGGGCGGAAGATTCATATCTACCAAGATGGTTCTGTCTTAGAAGGAAGGAAACGATGCAGAGTGTTACTTTGTTTAATACGTTGATTTTTAAAAAGTAGCTTCCTTTCTGTATCCCATGTGGTTTTATAAGATGCAAAGTTGAACAACGAGACTAGGACTATTGCTTAATTTATGAGTCAATACAATCATTTAAGCAAACATTCTGCTCCCCACCAAATTCAATCTAAATGAAAAAAAAAGTCATTAGTGAATGAATACGTTAGATGTAAAATATTCAGACCTTCTAACAAAGAAGATACTTACCTAATATACTACATATAACTGAGATTGAAAAAAAAAAATCTTTTTGCATTAACACCGTATTCTGCCTCTGCTCTAAAAACTCAAGGCAGCTTTCATTTCTCCCTCTCTTCATTTTATCCTCAGAGCAACAACACTATGAAATAGCTTGGACAGAGAGAGAATGACTGGCCCAAGATCAAATGGGAACTGACAGTGGGTCTCTCTGGCCAAAAAACTAACACATGTGTTTGAACTCACATATATTCCTCCATGCACCCATACAGCAATGAGACCCACATTAATACTTCCCTTTTGGGCCACTGCCTTCTGTAGAGAAAAGGAAGAGAAGGGAGGGAAGAGAGGAGGATTGTTTCTGGGCTGGGGGCCAAGGTTGGCAATGGGAATGATGGCATGTAAGCAGGATGGAAGACAGCAAAAAGGAGAGGGCTATGGAGGAGAGTGATGGCATGATACAGGAGGAGGGAGACAGGCTAAACTGGGAGGAAAGAAAATAGACAAGAGGAAGAAGCAGAGGATGACTTCAAAGAGCAGGCATATGGAAGAAAAAGAATGAGGAGAACAAGGGATTGATGTCCAAACATGGAAAGAGCAAGAGTTGAAGGACATGGGGAGTGGTGGGGCTGTCCAGCCTCTTAAAAACAAACAAGCAATCCCTGACTTGTTTCCTTTTTTTCAGATAGGGCATTCAGAATTTAAAACTGGACTCTTCTAGAAATTACTAGACATATGGTAACTCTAATTAAAACTCTGTATTATAAGGGCCTGGTGTTCTGAATGTTTTGGGTTGCATCCAATACTAGCCATCTGTCAATGCAATGACATCCATAAGAAGAATGGATCACCCTCTCCTGTGCAGCCCCCAAAATCAGCTCGAAAGGAAAAGGGAGTTTAGAGGCTGGAGATGGACAGGGAGAACATGAAAACAAATCTTTATGTCAGTCACAGACCAGCATAAAATGACAGAGGTACAAGTAAAACTGGAGTGCTATTTCTGAGACGTCAAAGTGACAAGATATAGTCCATAAAATATAATAATGTAAAATGATTAGGAATAACAGTTGTTAAACTATATGTCTAAAACTAATCAGAGATTCAGTATCAGTTTAGATCTAACATAAAAGAAAAAGAATAAGTTTTATTACAACAAAAAGCCAGCCAAGTAAGTTCTTAGTGAAGCCAAGTTGTGATGTAAAAGGAGTCATCTCTTATTAAGGGATCCAACCATATACTCTAATGAAAAAAGGGACATTTCTAGCACAACGTCCTTTCCTTCAGCACTCATACGTAAGTATTATTATTTGTGTTGATCTTAAAAATGAAAGCCTGGCTTTTTTAACAGGCCTTCAGCATTGGAAGGTGTGAGCTGCTCCCTCCTATACCTTGAACCATAATCAATATAGACTTTTATTTATCTCTGGTGCCATGCTTTGTATTAAACTGTTGTTTGTTTTAGACTCTTTAAAATCTTATTTACTCAAATAGGAAATGTAAGCTATTCAGACTAGGTTTCAATTTAAGCAGCAAGTGAGCCCTGTAAATAAGTGAATAACATGTTGACCAGGTTTGGTTATGGCAGAAGGTGATTGGCACAGAGGTGTTCTTAAGAGGAGCATTCCAATGAAAAATCGGATTTAAAACAAAAGCATTTGTTGCTATCTTATTACTGGTTCCCATATGGAAGGGCCAGAAGATCTTTGACCCATACCAGTAGTCAGTATAGATAGATGAAACCAAGCAAGGCAGAGAAGAGAAACAGAGATGTAAAACCAACGTTTATCAACACCATCCAGAAGCAAGCTATGTTCTATTAGTGTTTAACCATTTCAGGAGTCCCCAACTGTAATACTGTTAGCATGCCATTTACTGTTTTTTGAAAGCTTTGTTTTAAAAATGTTCATTTACCTTTCTCTAGAGTTCTACTATTTGGCTACTGTGATCACCGACTTAAAATACAAATAAATAATACACAATAAATAAATATTTAAAATGAGGAAAGGTGTTGAATCAATAGTATATTTCAGCCCGCTTTTTACATACTATAGAAGATTGGATATGAGTGCATGCATATGCCAAGCCAATTATTCTACAGAGGTGCAAAACATTTTGTGGAGATTCTCTAAAAGGAAAGATAGATAGAGAACAATTTTAGGCACAATCCTGAGATAGCAAAATTTATTAGGATTCTTCCTCAAAATCAGTATAAGTAAAGGGTTTTTGTAATTTAAAAAAGTATATGCCAAGTTATTTAATTGTGCATTTAACCAAAAGAAAAAAAGATGATATTCTGATTCTGACAAAGGCAAAAAACATATGACGATAATTAATTACTACTCATGTTAGAGACAATCTCAAATATCAAGAGGCCTTGTCTTACTAATGTGCTGAAATAATGGGATGTTGCCAATGTGATCCCTTCATCTGGGAATTCAGGAATACAGGAGATAAACAATGTATTTCCTTATGTAGAAAAAAGGCATGGAATCTGAAAAAATCTCTCTGTATTCCTGCCTATGAAGTAAAAGTCTGTGTTACAGCTGAGAAGACTATATGAGAATTCAACATGAGCTTGATAGTAGAAGTGCTGAGGGACTGCTAAAGTGATCAGTCCATCAGCTGTCTTATTTCACATGGAAAGGGATGGGATAGCCACCCCTCACTAGTTATTTATAAATTCCATGCTCCTCCTGAAAAAGTATGGATATGGCCCTTCAGTTGACCTTTTCATCTGATATCTCAGCTCCTGAAATAGATGGAAAATCAAAGGGTGACATTTTTAGCCGAGTTCTAAGACTCCAGGCTGGCCACGTCTACAGGGGCTTCTCAGCACTGACATGCTTTGATGACTTTTTTCAGCTCTATCTGGTGACTTTATTCTTTGGCTCTGACTCCCTGAATCTAGGCTGGTGCAGACGCCTGCAGTTCTGACCTGACAAAACCACAGTGGGACATCTATTCCAGGGAGTGAGAGGCAGTCATCAATTCATTGCCGCGACTCACTGCCTGAAGATGGAGTGGAGATCTGGGGCTCTGAGCTTGCAAGCTTTTTCTTCAAGTCTCTTGTTAAGTCTACCAGTTTTAAAGTTGTAACCATCACCAAGAAAAACAAGGAAAGTATATGGATAGTATGTATGGAGATCTTAATAAATAACTGTTAACATTTATGACAGCCAGAAAAGTAAAGAAGAGATGCACACCTATATTTGCACCTACAGACCGGCAGATAGTTTATTATGGTCCAAGACCTAGAATGACACCCACACCCACACATTTCAATAGATTGTTATTTCACAGTCTTTTCTAAAAAGAAAGTATCCTTTCCTGGTTCTGGTAAGAAAAGAAACAGAGTAGAAAAACATTAATTCTACCTTCTCATCCCATGCTAAGGACAAAAATGCATGGACAGCCTATCACAGGATAACAAGAGCAAGTAATTACCCTCCCTTTCAGACCTACCCACAATCTCACAACAAGTTCAGTTTACTTTTTGAATCTAGAATTCCTGTACATATACTGGTGAAATCAAGTGCATTTAAAAAGACTTCGCAGTGACTGCATTATGGCAGATGGTGTTGAGCGCTGCTAGAAAATTGCAAATGAAAATTTCCTGTCCTCTACGGGTGATAAAAAGGCTTTAGCAAAACAAAAGTGCATCTCATCCAGCTTCAGAAGCTGGATGCATCCAAATATATTCCCAGTTGCTGCCGTTATTCCTACTGCAGCTATGGCTAAAAAAAAAATAAAAATGAACAAACCAAAACTAAATCTAATTGAATTAGTCTTTAAATAAGCATATGGAAAATTGCCCCTTCTCCTAGCTCTCAGTCAGTAAAGAAATTCAGTGAAGTTCTTGCTTGTGAATGTTGCTTAATGAAATCAACTCCTTTAGAAAAACACAAAGCAAAAGGATTATCTTCATGCTTTAGATGGACCATCCATGTTTCTTCCACACTGCCTGCCACAGAACTCCAGGGATATAAATGTTACACCACAACTCAATCTGTTTTGTAACTCAGACACCACATTATCATCAGGTCAAGTTACTAGTCAAACAAACACTGGAAAACAGATGGCTCCAAAATGAATAGAAGACTTCTTTTCACTGCTTGTGCTATAAATAAACAAAAGAAGCAGAGGTCATGTAGATTATGAATGGGGGCTCAATTGTCCTGTATTCATACATGCAGTTTGAATGACAGCAAGGTCATTGTTGGGGCCTTTATCTGAGCCATCTACTGTCACTTTATTAACAAGTTTTAAATCTTTGAAGGTGTTTAGTTTCTTTTTAGTAAAGTCATCCTGTATTCTGCTCAGAAAAAGTAGAGAGGAAAAGAGAGAGAGAGACCATTTAACATCAAGGCATAATTTGAAATATTCAAAATATATATTAAGGCTTCTAGTCTAAAAAATCCACATATGAACCTACCTGAATTATTTTCATACTATTTATCTGCAAACTCTGGAACTCCCCAAAAGTTTAGGGATAGGAGAACTGTCAGCCACTGTTTCGGTCAGTTTCTCTTTTTCCAATGGTATATTCATTGCATTAGATTCTGCAGCCGTTTCTGAGCTGTTGTTTCATTGGCTGCATTTCCATGTACATTTCTTAGTAAGACTTTTGCCTCATATGTTTTGGGGTTAGGATTTATACTTCCCTAACATACAGATAAAATGCACAAAACATCTTATGAGTTTTACCATGCAAAAATTGCAGGTACAAAGTCTGCACACCAGC